CGATGCCCTTGGCGCCGGCTATAGCCCAGGCACGTGCCACTTCCTATTCGTTGGCGTCAGCATCCATCTCGCGCGATCGACGACAGACCGTCTTACGCCTCCTAAACCGCCTGTAGCGCCCGTGACCAGGATGGTCTTGCCCTTGGCGCTGAGAGTGGGGTTCTTGGGGTCGATGGCCGGGTACACATCGCGCTTGAGCGACTTGGTGAGCTGGAACGGGGTCGTGAAGGCGTTGGGGTCCATGGTGAGAATGAAGAGGTTGCGTTCGAGAAATAGCGGCAGAGAAAGTGGTAAGAGGAAAAGATATTCGAGTGATTGAAAAGTGCAAAGCGTAGGGATTTGGACTGTTGTTGTTGTTGTTGTTGCGATTATGTGTGCAGCAGCGACCATCTCCAGCCTCAAGTACTTGCGGCATCAGCCTTGTGCAACGCACTACCAGGCACTATCGAGCAACGTGCAAACTGTATTATCTCAGCTGTGATGCGAGCCAGGGACCGATTTACAAGCAGCAGATGCGAAGCGAAGGCCGACCCCGAATTGTATTTCAAAGCATGACTCGGGTCCCGCGCTAGAATCCCCCCTACTTGACGCGTGATCATTTGCTTTCTAAGTCTGCGAAGGCGCCAGTATGTTCCTCATTGCACGAGCATGTCTTTAGTATACTGACGCATCATCAGACTTCATTCGCTCTCCAGTACCTTTCAAATCGCTTTGCGAAGCTTTACAGCATTGCCCTAGATGCGCGTCCAATCCCGTCCACATTCCTTCACGGTCACCGTTCCGCCTTCATTTACATGTTGGAACGAGTACCATCGCAAAGCATGCATTCTACATGGCGACTGGAAATCTGCTTTTCGCGCGGATAACTGGCCCGAATTTGAAGAACACAAATGGTATAGGTACCATAACCAGACACAGGAAGCCAAGGAGAGATGTTGCCCAGCCGATCCCGAGAGCATCATACACTGAGTTAGATGTTAGCTTGTGCAGCGCTCCAGATATTGCCATCGGCTGGTTCCATGTTTGATGACGTACTTTGCACGGTAAAGAGGGGGAAGACAGCCCCAAGCGTGTACCTGACGATTCCATTCGCTGCTATAGCTGACGCGCCGTTCATCGCACCATATACATCCGCAAGGTAGAGCGCAGAGGATGTCTAGAAATCAGGCTGTTAGTGATAATGGAACATGAACTCGAGCTTCGCAACTTACGAAGACACAGATATTGCCCCATGCAAAAGGTATAACTCCCACCACAGTCGGAGCCCAATGAACGCCCTTATCAGCACACCAGCCAAACCAGAAGAGACCAATGACCATACCCCAACTACCAAGCATTGCGCTATATAAGCGATGTTCCGGGTCAGCGTTTGGGTTGCCTTTCATGGTGGCCTGCTGGTGTTTCTTCATGTAGACCATGCGGTCTACGACAATGGTAGTCATGCCTCCAACAAACACGCCAATACTGATTGGAATAAATGTGAGCCCAGACTGAGACGGCGTAAATGAGTATGGCGGACGTGAGAAGACATAAGGGAAAGCTGCAAAGAAAAGAAACAGCACCGCAAATGCGAAACCTGTGTAGAGCGAGACGAAGAACACTACAGGCTATGCATATTTAGCTCAAGCATGGACAAAGATGCACGGGGCTTGCAATCATACCTCTGTTGAGAGCATGTGAAGGGGCCGAATGAACCTCAGAACGATCTCGCTCTTGATATCTCCATTTTCTTGTTCCTTTTGCACTCCGTTCTCCTTCATTCGCCTCTTCAAGATGATTGGCTTGTAAGTCTCATCCATTGGTATAGATGTGGCATATACACCCACCGCAAGGAAAAGAATGGACCATTGTGTCCACGGCCAAGTCTTGTATTGCGCCACGAATCCTCCAACCACGGGTCTGTCATCACGTCAACATCTAGTAGAGCAATAGACTCAGGACGATACATACCCAATGGACGGCCCGGCGAAAGGAGCCATCAAGTAGAAACTCGTAGCCAAGGCGCGCTTATGCGGTGGGAACAAATCGGCATTCGTTCCAGCCCCAACAGCTAGTGCTGGACTTCCAAACAATCCTGCGAAAAATCGACACACGACCAGGCCTGCGTATGTCTTAGAGAAGCCTGCACCGAGAGTGAACAGCATGAATATGGGGAAGAACACCAGATAGACAGCTTTTCGGCCTTTCCTTTCGCTAAGTGGCGCGGTGACGATTGGACCAAACGCGAGGCCGAGCGTGTAAAGCGTTATGCCGATGAGCGCAGCCGTGCGCGATACGTCGAAGTCACGCATGACGTCTGCGAGCGCGGGTGTATACACTGATGTTCCAAAGGTGCTGAGCCGTCAGTACTGCCCGGTGTTACGCGCTTTCTTGCGACTTACACAGTGAATCCAAAGAGGGCTGGTATCATCGTATGATAAGCCAACTTCCATGTAGACCAGTTGTGCGGGTTCTCAGTGTCGTCCGGACCATCCCAGTCCATCGGGTCGACGGGGCTGGTGAACGATCCATCTTCGCTAGCCGGCCGTTCACTACAGCGTCGTTCATCCTCGAATTTGGCGGGTTGGCATGGAGATTGATGTTCAGGGTCGGGCTTTTCTCCGTTGTTTCCAGCGATGACAGTCTCGGTCTCATGGATCAATGTCGCATGTCCATTCTGGCAATCGTGGTTCATGCTAGGAGTACGGTGAGTTAAGTCAGGGTGCTGTGAAAGGCACCAGGGATATCCTCCGCTATACTTCACAACGAGAGGATATGTGCTGTATATACCCGGCGCTTGTCCCCGCACGCGTTCAGAGTTACGGCCGAGAGCAAGCGCGGCGCACTACCAAGTCTGCCATATTGAGTTACTCGCATCCTCTACGAAACTGCCATGAAGTGAAGAAGAGCTGAGCTGTAAAGGAGTGCGCGGTTCTGATTGGCTGATTGTTAAGTGACCCGAGGCTCGGTGTTGGGTTTACTGATCACAAATCATACATTAAACGGTGGCTTCCAAGGTTGCTCACGTGACGAGGCGCGCCGAGATCTCGGGAAGGCATAGCATCGCGTAGTACATGTCTGAGCCTGGTAGCTTCGGGACCGGGCCAATGTTTGCGAAAGCGAAGTGGGATGTTTGCGTCTGGAGGAGGGAAGGAGAAGAAAACCGTGATGACGTCAGCCAGCTTGGCAAAATGCCGATCAGCTTCAGCTTCAACACTCATTCATCCCAAGCTGAGCATATCTTGGACATCTTCGTCGCGTCTGAATATTCTTGATCTCGTTTACGATTTTCTATTGCTGCTTAGTGCAGTAGTATGGCAAGCGCGGTCGCACACAGAACGACATCCGTTGTTGCGGGAAGGGGCTGGAGCCGCCGCGTTCGCGACAACCTGACCGCGACTGTTATATCAGCTCTTCTTCGCATCGGCCAAGGTTCGAAAAAAAGCGAGGAGAGAATGCACCCTAGCGAGTTGTAAGACACTCGCATAGCTCGCGACACGTTATCTTCTTCACAAACGTCGCGTTCTAGCTATGAGGACGCCTCCAGCTGTCGCGGCCTTTTTATCGTTCGGATACCGAATGTTACGCTGTGGTATTGCAACTTGATCCAGGATGATAGGATAGAAACTGCGTAGCCAAATCAGCCTCACGATGCTAACACGAAATAGTATCGTAGGGACCATCGGCTGCAAACTCGCCTACGGTGGTATCGCGTTTCGGTACCACTGAAAGCCAGGTCTCCGCACCCACATCGCCGTGGATCATATAGGCCCCCATCGCGACAACGACTATACCGACCTGATGCAACCAGCAATTCCTATGGACGACAACAATAAATCTGAGCTAATCCCTACGAGTGAAGGGAAACTTGTGAACGCACGTGCGTTTCCCCTTCAAGCCATGGTTGAGTGTTCTTCGACACTAGGCACCCATTCTTAACAGAACGCTCCATCAGATCTTATAACTGTGTCAACCCTGGTGTCAACACATACGCCTACATCCTTTCACATCACGCAGTGAATTCCTCTAATTATTAGCATCACCCAGTAACTCCTATCCACAGCGAACATAAATGGGTTCAAAGCGCAAACACCAAGCCGAGAAGGACTGCACGCCTTCGCAGTTGCCCAGAAAGCGCAGTCGTCGCGACGTTCAGGAGACACATGCAGTTCCCCAGAATGAATGCAATCACAATAGGGGTGCCAGGCGCAGTCGCCGTGATGACAGACAGCTTCCGTACCCAAAGCGCGGGCATAAGAAGCCTACGAATATTGCTGCGGAGCTTGCGAACCTTGCCGACTACAACGCACCTCCCGTGAAGCGATCTCGAAGGGATGCCGCAGCTCAACTTACCGACGATGAAATGCCTAGGGCCAGGTCCAGCCGCAATCGTGTTCGTGACTTGCGAATTTCAGGGTCCACCGCTCAGTCTGCCCATTTGGGCGAAAAGCTTCGTGCACAGGGTGCGCGCGTCACCAAATCAACAATCACAAGTACACACCGAAGGAAGACAAGTCTCGAAGAGAAAGTCAGAGCAGAGGCTGATAGATTGGGTCGTTGGCTTGGTTGGGTATCAGAAGAAGAGAAGGATGACGAGAGCGATGATGAAGATCAATACGTGCCGCGCTCACATTCTCGTCGGTATCCACCAAAGAAGCAAGGGATTCAGAATGCACCCTGGAGTGATCTACCGGGTGAAGTCCGCAATTTGATATATCAATACGCCATGACCGACGAGGAGAAGAAGATTCTGAACGTTCGCCACTACCCCGAAGGCGTACCTCGGCGGTCCGTTCGCGGCATAGCTTGTCCGACCAACTTCGCGCATTCATATTGGGGCTTCACTCAAACCTGCCGCCAGATTCGGAATGAGTTTACCCCTTGGCTTTTAGAGAAGCGTCGAGTCCGTACCGCGCTTGAGACCATCAACGACTACGTCAACATCTTCCATCGACCAGATAAAGACGGCGAGGTAGCAGGATGGGTGGAGCCCATCTGCTGCGGCGCACCACTCCCTCAACATGGTGTTGATATTCCCTCCTTGTTGAAGCTTCGGGAAACCAGTTCAAGATTTCATCTTCAGCTGACTCCAACAACTATAAGCGAAGCTCTAGACGCCTTGATCATGCCCACCGATCCGGATGACTTCGACGAGCTGAAGATCATGCGGGATATGGCAAGAACGTTTCGCACCTGGTCACAGGGTAATGTTATCAGCTTGATAGGCCTGGATGGCATCAACATCACCTCGGTACCCAAAGGATTGAACACTATCACCAGTACCACTGAAGACGAAGATGATGCGCAGCATGAGATTCTGATCAAGTTCATCATGAGACCAGGCCAAACGGAAAAAGCTCCTGATAAATACCGCCTACATTGTCTTAACAAGATTATCTTCGCCTCTGAGCTCTCGAAAAGGACCGGTGTGAAGCTGAAGGCTTGTTTCGACACTGGCGTCGCGAAGTGGAAGGTTCGGCGCATTGGGGTTGTCGACACGTGCTGGACAGCACGAGCTGGTGGCAGCAAGATTTCCCGTCGTTTGATGAAGTACTGTTATTCTCCTGGCTACAAAGGAGAAAGCTTGGACTGAGCTTGAGATAACGCCTGCCATCACTTTTTCGGACACCTACGAGAGGAGCTTGAGGAAGTTCACAGCAAAATTTTCTCGGCTTTTGAAGAATGCAAACAATTCTGCAACGTCCAACGAATCATTTGTGCGTCGTTTATTGACTACAGCGATATCACAAAAGAACTATCACAGCTCATGGGATACGTGAGGCGCTACTGTTGAGTTCCTCAACGCATCAAGCTTGCTCATACATCATGCGCGTGCTGTCCGCATAGCTGTCGGTGCAACAGCGCATCCTTGACGCGTCCCACACGCGACAGCTTATACATCGAACAACGTATAGACGCTGCTTCGCTCGGGTTATTTTCCATCATATCATATATACATATAAATTTATGCATTACATCCGCCCATAGTCTTCTTCATCTAGCCATCGTTAACGTATCAAACTCAACCAAGCATGTTCCCCAACCAGCCACCTCAGCCCCCAAGAAACGGCCAAGACCAAGCTCAGCATCCCGGACAACCCGTCTTCCAAGTCATAGTAACACCAACAGGGCAGCGTGTGTTAGTACCTTACCCTCTCCCCGATCAAGTATGTATACCGCAGGGACCAGTACCAGGACCTGCACCAGCAGCGACACAAGCCCAGCCGTGGTGGATGCCCGCGCCACCCATGCCTGTTCAGAGTGACGACGGCGCACCTACTCAAGAGCCGCCTGGACAGCCGTCCCAGCCACAGTCACTTCTACTGGCACCATTGCCCAACCCTACGCAAGATCCGAATAATCCTGCGACCCTGCCAAGTGACTACTTCACCTATCGCGACGCGGGATGGAGTGATGAGGCGTTGCCGAAGCTGCTGAGGACGCATAGGGAAGCACGGAGAAAGAAGTAAGTACACGGCGCAAACGAGATCAGACGTGATACACCACGGACCGGGTCTTGCAATACATGAAGAGGTTTGTGTAGCGAGTGTATTTATGTAGAGCTTGAGGCTGCTTTGGTAGGTAGGGACCGCACCGCGCAGATCCATATATGTAAGACGCTCAAATGGACTAAATATGGAATGATTTGCACCCGAAACATGAGACTAGGTGAGCTAGTCATGAATCAAGTGACCGAATCGCTTGCACTGTGTGCGTCGGATGAATGGGCATTAATGAGCGAGCCATTAGTTGCACGCGTGGGAGCTGTTACCCCATGCTCAGTCGCTCGATGTGACTTCCAGCTCCTTAAGCTCAGTCGTCCTCTCTCGACGCAGCTTCGTCCTCTTGATACCGAACGAGATCAAAAGACCAATGGCACCCACAATCGTCATGAGAATCCAGGTCCCTCTCAGCGCGCTCATGAAGCTATGGCGGACTACACTCTTCTGGAACTCGGTGAGGTTAGTGATGGCGGCGCTTTGAGATATCGCTTCACCCCCAGTGAGATTGACAGCAACATCGTCTGCAATGCCACTGTCGATAATCTTCGCGTAGTGTGGCGCCATGAGGAGTTGGAATACCACTTGGCCGATAACTAGACCGATGGCACCAAATATCGAACGTACAAATCCAAAAGCCGCAGTACCGGCCGCTATATCCGCCTCTTGTATGCGCGTTTGTAGAGCAATGAGCGGCGCGCCAAAATTGGGCCCGAAACCCAGGCCAATAACGACCATAAATGCGATGATAGTTCCAAGGCTTGGCGTGGTGCCGAGCGAGATGAGAAGGCCGACACCGAGCGTCATCACGAAAAGACCTGCTTGCAGTACTTCGAGGAAACGCCCAGTCTTCTCTATGACATGACCGGACGCGAATGAAACAAGTGCCAAAGGTATCGCGACGGCGAGCATACATACGCCTGTTATCTCTGGTTGGAGCCCGAGCACGATCTGAAAGTACAAGGGTAGGAAATAAGCCACCGAGGTGAAGACCACAGTGTCGCATGCGCATACAGCAAGCGCGCTGAGGTTGCTGATGTCTTTGAAGATGCGCAGCGGCATAATGGGACTGCCGCCATGTTGTGCCACCCAGTGTTGCGAGAAAGGGAAGGCGACGTAAGCGAGTGACCCGAATAGCAAGCACGTAATGACTCCTGCGTTCGAGTAGGAGCTAATGCCACCTACTTGAAGGCCCACTAGCAGGAGTATAGTAGCCGTGATTATCGTGACGGTCCCCAGCCAGTCCATAGCCGCGAGTCCTGTCGTAAGGGGCGTTCGTGGGTTGTGTAGGTGTAGCGTAAGATACAACACTAAAATCGCTAATGAGACGATGGGTATGTTGATGTAAAAGCACCACGTCCAATGGAGACGTTGTGCGAAGACGCCGCCGAGGACCGGGCCCAAAGCAGATGCGACGGCCCATACAGCACCAACAGTGCCCATGTAGAAGGACCGATCCCGGATGGTGAAGAGGTCGCTGACGCATACGTGAACCAGTACCACCACTCCACCGCCGCCGAGACCCTGAACGACTCGACCGAAGATGAGCATAACGGCATTCACACTGACGGCGCACAAGATGCTGCCGCCAAGGAAGATGGCGTTGGCCGTCAAGATGACAGGTTTTCTTCCGAATATGTCCGAGAGCTTCCCCCAGAACGGGACTGATGAAGCGTTGGCGAGAAGGTATGATGAGCCTATCCAGGCGTAAAGGGAATCTGGAATGTGGAAGGATTGGGAGATCGTGGGCAAAGCGGTTGGGATGAGCACAGTGTCGAGTGCTACTAGAAAGATCGATAGACTGAGGGCGATGAAAGCCGCCAGTACGTGGGTCGGAGCACTGGTCTTTCCATTCGAGGCCATCTTGGCTCCTGTGAAGGACTTGAATAGTTAACTTGAAAGGTTTCTTGTCGCGGTGGTAGTTGCTCACCTTGATCGATTCTGATGACGCGGTGATGTCAGTGCCAGCCGACATGTTTGGAAAGCACTCCTCGTTGAGGGTCGTCATCCTGCCAGATTCGCCGGACCCCACCGTCATAAAGATATGTGCAGGCAAGAACTATGAAGAGTCTATGACGACAGACGATAGAAAGCTGCAATCGCACACTTGTCGAATGGAAATAATGCCGAGGTGATATGTGAGCTTTGGCGTGGCTTTATACCGCGACGCTGACGCATATGATAAAGAAGCCATATTTGACAAGTCTATCGTCACTCTCTGGGCCCCTCTTAGCCGATGGGTATACGGGTTACATCCATGCGTTTGCATGCGTCGGGGGCATTAGCCCGTAGTGTATACTTTTGTAGTACATGCAGGCTGCGATTGGAGATCCCTGGCTGAGCTGGATCTTAGTAGAAGAGGTGGCTTGCTGTCGGTATACTTGTCCAGCACCTAACAAAGATCCCGGAACATCGGTTAGTGAACAGCATCGCCACCTAGTCCATGCGGAACGTGTAGTATTAAGTCTGCACGGTCCTGGTTGGGCTGGATCTGCGACTACATGTGGGGACCCCGCGTATTATTTCAGGGAAGTAGCTATGCATACGCGAGAGCTGATCGGGCTGAGGCAATTGGAGGCAGCGGCAAGCAGCCGATCCTGCATGCTACTGATGCGGTACTGATCAGCAGCTTTCACGTGGTGGGGTTTCCACATCTAGAAACCGAACAACCATCGTGGAAATTGAGTATCGTCCTGCTGGTACCCTTGATACCATTCTCGTCAAATTCAGAAGTGCTGATGCCGAGACTGGTGATACACTCTCTTGTAGGACAGCTGCCACTCTGAAGACCGCCCAAGTGGATAGTGGAGACAAGTCAAATAAGACGAGCGTAACGTGAGCCTTTGCGCTTTGGGCTGAAACTTATCAAATGATCTGTCAACAACAAGTCGAACGTTTTGGGCTGCACTGAGTTGACAATTGCACCAGTTTGCCAATGCTTGTGTTCGTCGGATATGCCGTGTAAGGCAGTCCTTTCCGCATGAAGCTGGCGTCAACGCAGCCGTGTCAATCGGGACTCACGGGCTGCACTTCTCCCGGCATCTGGCAATAGTCTTAGTGCGAGATCCACCGGCTCACGTATAATACGTGACACGTATGTCTTCATGTTCACGTGTTTGCGTCTCCTGAATGAACCCTACGCGCGAAGACTGCTGTAGAACGTGTTGCAACTTAGGCATATAAACTTGACCCTCTGCTGTGCTTGACGTTGAAACAGCGGAACGATACTCTCCGGGAACGATGGTGCAGGTACATTGATGCTCAGACTGGGCAGGTTCGATAGATCGTCAACGTCGACTTCTGATGCTCTCGTCTACAATAGATCAGTATCGATTGGGCGAATGGACACCACCAACCGTAGTCTCGGTGGCCAGCGGTAACCGGGGTCACGCTAGTGAAGATACAGTGCCATGCTAGCAGGCCAACAGCATGATCCTTTTTTGACTACCCGCATCGTGGCTGTGGGAGATTGTTGGTGTGAAAGACCGGGGTAGGCGTAGACGGAGCAGAGACGTATTCTAGCGTCGTTTGGAGTCGGTCTGTCGCGTAAGAGATAGTAGCTGCCGATCTGCAGAAGATCAAATTCCGAGACATATGAGCTGTTCGTCCTCTGGCTGCTTCGTTTGCGAGTATGATAACAGTGTCGACGCGCTTCGGCGATGGATGTCGTGCAGGGTGGGCACCGTTCGGAATCGGACACGGGGTGTAGCCGCTCGTGCAGCGTGGCGGAGACCGGGGATATGGTACTGGTAACACAAAGAACCTTTGAAGATGCTTTGGACGACATTCCTTCGAGAGTCAGCACAAGCACACCCTGACTGTGCGCTCCCATGTGAGCGTCGCCTATTCCGTCCATTTTGGGCTCTTCCGGAATCCTGCATCGACAAGGAAAAAAATGACTTACGTCAGTCCTCAAATGTACTTAAGAAAATGCGAGGGATATGGCCCGAGAAACTCGATGACAAAATGCGAGAGGTCGGCTGTAAGTGACGACTACAAGGTTGCGCCATCGTTGGCGTTCACAGGTCCCATGGCACATCGGGCCACCAAATATCGACTGATGCATTCCGATACATACAGCGACGCGCTCTGTTCGCATGTGGAATGGCGTTCATCAACCTTGGGAGCGTAGGACCGCCATGGACGACGTGAGGAGGTGGAGACATTCGATCTTTCGTACGAAAGGGGTGAGAACGCGTCGGATGATGGTCCAGGGCGCGAACCGAACGAAAGCGAGTACCCGAATAGTTGTCAGCGATGATAACGCGCTTGTCTCGCGTTCCTTTGTCGGAGTCGTCGCGATGTCGCGTTGCGATATCGGTTCTAAGAGTTGCAACATGTGGGGCAGCTCCCTCGGCTTCGAAGGGCCGCCAAGCCCCAAAGAGCGGAAGCGCAGGTGCGGCGAGGAAAAAAATTGTTTATCATGCTGCCCCTTCCCCACTAGAGCGCTCTTACTTTCCAATAACCATGAGCCCAAACGCCATCACCAGCTGGGACAACAATCCCGCCACGCCGCTACGAAGACGCCGCCGCCGCCCACACTGAGAACTCGACCTGAGAGTAGATGGACTGCTGCTGCATCTAGCGCCCAACGGCCATAACATTATTCTTCCACCAGGATACCCCATTTTTGGAGAGACCTGCCGAAATCTTCAGGAGCACCACCAGGCTACGTATGTCGTCACTTGTTCTCTTACCTGCCGCCTATTCAATGTCCCGATGATGATTTTGTCATATTATAAAGATGTTAGACTTGCGATACCCCTTGAGCGCACAACGACTTCCTGAGAGACTACCCCACTTACATACCCCGCGTCTTCCGAACTGTTACCGCAACTGACGCGTCTTAGTAGCATATAAACCCGAGTTTTTACTCCAAGCCTCCCCACACCCCGCCATCACGTCAAAATGTGCGGTATCATTGCTGTGATCCACGGCGATCCCAAGTCGCAATCGGCTTCGGTCGAGGTGCACGATGCCCTCTACCTCCTCCAACACCGCGGCCAAGATGCTGCCGGAATAGTCAGTTGCAGTGCCGGTGGTCGCTTCCACCAGTGCAAGGGCAACGGTATGGCGTCGCGCGTCTTCCAGGACGGCGCACGCGTGTCCGACCTCCCCGGCTTCATGGGCCTCGGCCACCTGCGATACCCTACCGCCGGCAGCAGCGCGAACGCTGAGGCTCAGCCCTTCTACGTCAACAGCCCCTACGGTATCTGCATGACCCACAATGGCAACCTCATCAACGCGCCGGCACTGCGCCAGCGACTCGATCACGAGGCCCACAGGCACATCAACACCGAGAGCGATAGTGAGCTCATGCTCAACATCTTCGCCGACGAGCTCAACGAGACGGGCAAGGCGCGTATCAACGCCGACGACTGCTTTGCGGCGCTGGAGAGGATGTACAAGCTCTGCACTGGTGGATGGGCCTGCACGGCCATGCTTGCGGGTATGTCGATATCCAATGGTTTCTGCTATGCTGTCATCGTATAGATACTAACATTATCTCAGGATTCGGCCTCATCGGTTTCCGCGACCCGTACGGTATTCGGCCCATGGTGCTCGGCTCTCGCAAGTCGCAGGACGGCAAGAGCATGGATTACATGATGGCCTCAGAGAGCGTTGCGCTGGTCCAGTGCGGCTACAAGGACTTCTTCGATATCCTCCCCGGCCAAGCCGTCATCATCGAGAAGGGCAAGGAGCCCGTCTTCAGGCAAGTCGCCAAGCAAGAAGCGTATACCCCGGATATCTTCGAATACGTCTACTTCGCGCGACCTGACTCTGTCATTGACGGCATCGACGTGGATGAGAGCCGACGCAACATGGGCTTCACTCTCGCCGAGACCATCAAGAAGCAGCTTGGTCCCAAGACCATGGCTGACATCGACGTGGTTATGCCGATTCCTGAGACTTCGATTACTTCTGCGTTATGCGTTGCTGAGGCTCTCGAAAAGCCATACGTACAAGGCTTCGTCAAGAACCGCTACATCTTCCGCACATTCATCATGCCATCGCAACAACTACGACAAAAGGGCGTCCGGGCCAAGCTGAATCCTATGAAGAAGAAGTTTGAAGGCAAGAACGTGCTGCTGGTTGATGACTCCATCGTTCGGGGTACTACGTCGCGTGAGATTGTCCTGATGGCGCGGGAAGCGGGTGCCAAGAAGGTCTACTTTACCTCGTGTGCACCGCCAATCACCAATGCCCACATCTACGGTATTGATCTGGCCTCTTCCTCGGAGCTGATCGCTCACCACCGCGACTCAGCAGCCATTGCTAAACACATTGGCGCGGACGATGTCGTATACCAGAATCTTGAGGATCTACAGAGCGCTTGCGCACGTCTCTCCCCGCGGGATCCCGCAACGCAAAAGTTCGAAGTCGGTGTCTTCTGCGGCAAATATGTCACCCCGGTCGACGCTGGCTATTTCGAGCATCTCGAGAGAATCCGCGGAGAGAGCCGCAAACAAAAGGTCATGGAGAAGGCACGAGAGGCTGTCGTACATGGCACGGCCAATCCTCAACAGGTGCGCATGGCTGCCAAAGGCGTTGTAAGTTGAGCATTGAGAACATTGTTTGGCAAGGCTCTCTGTGACTAATGCGTATTACAACAGGAGGTTGACCAACATGGCAACGTCATCCCATCGGACGGCAATGGGCAACCCGATTGGCACCCAGCCAACGGTGTCAGCCAGACATCCACGAGCGATGCGCTTGCTAACGGTAACGGGGAAGAGCGACGCGTTACCAGCAGCCAGGACATCAGCTTACACAACATGCACGATTACAACTGAGCAGCTACTCAATAGTTGTCAATCGTCGCCTTGCTACTGCAGCACAGATGACCATTTTTATTTAGACGA